ATGCTTTGAATGATATTTCTGTTTTATCTATATTACTAAAACAATACTTCTAAATTAGACCAATGGAATGGACAATCCTTATTAAGGAACTTTTATTTCTTCGACATATTATTCTTATTTTAATAATATGAATTGCTAAATGAATATTTTGCAAAATACCGTACAAGACTCATCCGATCATGTATATCATATACTAAAAATTTATTTATTTTATTTATGCCAAAAATGGCTTTAAATAAATATTGAAAAAATAATTCCTTCTAATTTTAAGTCCTAAACTCTACAATTTCTGTCTCAAGTACTTCTCCCATAAAAAATTCCCATAAAAAATTGCATATAAATCAATAATATCAGATTCTCTTTTTATTCGAAATTATTTTTGAATCCATTGCAGCAGCCATTCCTGGCTGACTTCCCATGATAACAATTTTTATACTTCAGACTAATGCAATTGAATGCTCGATTTGCCAATAATCACAGGCATACGTTCGACAATAAATCAGATTTGGCGATATTTTTTGTATTGTTAAGGTTTTTGTATCTTCATCTGCACATTTGATGGTAGTAACCCAACAGCCAATATTAATCATGTCCATGACACAAATGTTGCACCGGTAAATAATAAGAAAATTATTCGAGGATGGAATAATTTTCGATGGAACGTTTCCTCCGCATGGCTTGAAATTTTGAAGGGTTCATCACTTAATCGAAATTGAAGCCTTTCATATTTTTTTTATAGCAAAAACAAACAATTCAATTGTTCTCTTGCGTTTTGTAATTTATCTTTGCACAAAGGCGAAGATGGAAACGCATATCACTTTTAACCGCAAATGTTGTAAACAAAATTACAACAGAGATGACTTCAGATAATGAAACCAAATGTAAAGGTAGACAAAACGGAAATATGCTACGCCGATAAAAGACAATAAAACATTCTGATATGAATGACAAAAGATAACAAAAGACACGAACGCAATTGTTGCATGTAAAAGATACAAGATACATTAGGAAATTAAAACAAAAACAAAAAAATCAAAAAAAGTTATAGCTGAACTTATCGTTTGCATGGTTGACAAAGTTTAGCTCCTATACACTTAACAATTGATTTTTACAGAGCAATTGGCAACACTGTTTTTGCAATAAATAAATTAAAAATTCAACATTCCATTTTTGCAAATTTTTATATTTTAAATTTAAACGAAATATTGATGAAGCAAAACGCAAACGAATTACCTTCTAGCAAACTGATGACAGATCAAATTTTTTAGTTCAACAGCCCTTACAAAAGATGAGCCAAAACCATGTTGACATCTATTACAGGGTTAAAGAACTTGGAGCTGTCTCTGATTCTATGAAGTAAGGATTTCTTATTCAAGCCATGAGAGAGCTTTGCAAACCCTATAAACTGGTCAACGTTGTAAACACTAATTTGGCTATAGTCAAAAGAAGGTCAGAACAATCTGAAATCTGAAATCATTACTCATAAGGGACTATGACAATATACTACCATATTTACTCTTCAGAATCAATTCCATATGGCCTAATATAAAAGAGAAAAACTATATTCTCTAAGTCATCCCAAGTACCTGCTTACGTTGTTACTTCTATTATTATGGACCATATACCAGGTTACTTATGAGAAGAATATAGACATCTTAAAGCCGAAATAACACAAACTAATGTTATAATAAATGTCGGTAATACCAATTTTATAGAATAAAACAACAGGTTTGATGAAATTGTGTTCTTTTAATATTTGGACTCAAAAACTGACAATAGCAGTAGGAAAAGTGACTAATAATTATTACTGCATAATTTAACAATGACGGTTTAAACACACAGTTTCAGATCAAACTGCTATCCAAAAAATCAGAGATAATGCTGTGCAATAGTCTTTTGAAAACTATTTTATGTATATTTCTTCCGATACAACTAAAACACAAGAGGTCCAAGACCGTCATCGCTGGACCGTGAATAGGAAAAATGCACAATGTAACAGATGATGTACGCAAAGCTATCAGCTATTGCTAGGCAATAGCTAGTAAAAAAAGATTTCTTAACCGTTTTAGATCCAAACTGAAGTGTTATAATCTCTTTAACTCTCAACATCAAGTCATTGGCATAGTATAAATCAAAAACTTGCAAGGACTGCAAACATATTCAGAAATGCAATCTAGACCTCAAAAATAAATGTATTCTGCAAATTTTGCAAATATAATTAATTATTTAAATTAATTATTAGTTATTTAAGTTAATAATTATTTATTTAAATTATTAATTAGCTAAATAATTCTCATTTGAGTTAAAAAATAATTTACACGCCGGGATGAGTAAAACCTTGATGGCACGCTGGGTGTTTACTGAAAATAAAGCATACCTACAAGGTTTAATTCCAAATCCCATTAAAGTCTTTAAAAAATTTTTAAGAAGTGTTTGATGTCTTTGTCTTAAGACTACTAGTAGAGTTCCAAACATTTCATGTATCCAAAAAAATACCGACTATAAAACCTATGTGTGTAGTTATGCGGACAGATAGATTAACCTAACTATAAATTGTTTCTGTTTTCTTTTTCTGAGCATTGTTTTATGACTTAAGGATAACTGTTTTGTTAATTTTAGGAGCTGATTGATAGCAATACCACAGTGAATACCATACAATTCTTCATCCATGCATGATGATATCAACAGTAGGAAGTCTGGTTAATTTTCGATTCAACTTATTATTTCCTATTCAATTAGAAATTATATCCTCACAATTTGATTTTGTTGAACTGTTAATCAAATAAAAACATTTAAGATTTTGAGATGAAGGAGATGTTCCGTTATCGGTCTTCCAACTTTCCGTGAGAAAATATTTAATCACTGATCGATGCATTAATGTCTCTGACTTTTTATAATAATATTATACTTATTTTCCATTTTCAACGCACATTTTACACTCTTTCGCTATACAATAAGATTGGCCCTCTGAAATAATTGTGGTGTGAATTTATATAACATCCCTGGCTAAGTAATTAAATCATAATTTTAGTTGTGATGCAGCGCATATCAATGAACTAAAATTGAGTTTGTCTTACAACTTTCATATTATTTTATCATTTGAATTTTATGAAGTTTGATAGAAACACTATTTCAATGCATAAATTTAATATTCATGTAACTTTTTTTTTGCTTTGTTTATAGAGCAAAGAAGACTCACACCAAATCCATTCCCAACAGAATTTCAGTTTTATGACATTCGCCGTTGCCATATTCATGCAAATTATGGAGCTCCAAATGCAGTCCTCATGCAATGGTGCAGTGATTGCAGTAGTTGTGGAAACTATTGCTTTCGTCTTATTACTGTCGGATACAATTCTCAACTTAAGTATGCAAATTGAAAATTTATTGTTTCAAAAAAGTGCAAAAAACAATGCAAACATTGATTTTACATTTTCATAAAACAATAATACTTCTTCTTTCTGCTGTAATCCAGCACTCGCCTGGGGATAAAAATATTTCTGGTACTGCATTAAGTAGAAAACTACTTTCTTTCGTTCGCAAAAAAAAAAATTCAAATAAATTTCACATTATTTTAAGAATATTTCTGGTAACAATTGCAATTGGCACGTTGTCATTCGTAGTCAAGCGAAAATTGAAAATTCAATTTAAAATAAAAATATTTTCGCACCTGATCCAGAAATGTTGCTGTTAGTCGCAGAGACTGACTCGTGTCACTTGTAATCCTTTTTTTTTTCATAAGTGTATCAATAAGAATTCACAATATTCTTGCAAATAATAGTTTAAATATTTATTCAAATTTTGAAATTTTTGATTGTTAACAAGCAAGAAAGATAAATCACTACTAAATGAAAAACTTGGACGAACGAGGTGTGATCAATGAGAAATTGGAATTTCTATTTATTTTAGAAAGCTTTTTTTTTAAACTTCAGTCCTTATTCCAATCCCCCCAATGTAGTCATCTCACTTTCATATTATGCCATCGTAGTTTTACGTTTTTATGAATTTCATTTCATTTAGATCAAGCACACCAGATCTGTGATTGTGGCTTTATATCATCTGAAATTGTTTAGCACTATTCTTTTTAAATTTAGGAATAAAAAATCGCAGAGTGCCATGTCTGTGAAATACATTGTTTTTGACAAAACAGTAATATAATGTTTGACATAATGTGTTGGATAAGCAGGGAATTATTAGAAGAAAAGTCATTCAACTCAAGTCCAAACAGTTGCAAAAATCTTTTACACGCCTCGTTTGACATTTGTTTCAGACTAACACATCTTTTGAAGTTCAAGTAAACAAAGTCTGAAAGATACTTATTTTTTATATCTTATCTTATCCATAGTTATCAACCCTAATGGGGTTTTGGAAGGGCCAGGAAATTTGTTTGTTGAACGACAGTATATTTTTTTTTTTCCTCTTGCACCAGAGCAATCACCCACCCATGGTCAATGATGACGCATATATTCAAGCCGTGAATGTCAATATCGGTGATATATAATATGTCAAGATTGTTACACTTCTGCAATACCAGTGTTCAGTTCATGTGTTCAAATTATCTCTTCCAATATTTGTTTGAAGAAATTAATTCACATAAAGTCACATTCTCTTAAATGTCGTCAAATCATTTCGTCTACTAGCGAATATTTTTATACTAGCTTAATATCTTTTTCCAACAGTAGTAAAAAGATTGAATTTTTTTTTTTCATTTTTATATAATGACATTTGATAAGCTGATGACAATCTACAAGACACTTGTACATATTACACAAGATGAAAAAGATCGATTTGAAACTTACACGAAACAACTTTTTGATTATTGTAATGCGATAGGTAAACATGCCTCTGATTTATAATTCACAATTATAAATATTAATATCTTGATATTACATGTTTACATATATGCAGTAGATATGCATTTATAAAAAACTTACTGGTTACTTTTTAAAGTATTTTCAATTACTCCTAATTCGGCAACATTTGCAAATTGCAGACAAGTCAATCAATTTCATTTGTGGATTCGATAATAAATCAATTTGCAAGGCCTGCTCCCCAACTCAACTCCCCACCTCCCCAACTATATAGTAGTTGCATGAGCGTTGTTGACTCGTATCTTGCACAGTCCAAATAAACTTGCATAACGTTTTAGTGATATTTTCAATTAAAGTGCAGTGTTGTGCAAGAGATATCAATTGATAAGTTGATGTGCGGTAGTTGCACACAAATGTGTATAGGCAAATTTAAATTGCATTTTATTGCAATATATTATAAGCTAATTAATTTGAGTTAAAAATTAATTTATATTTTAATTTAAATTTTAATAAAACTGTTACATACAAAAATCGATTAAAGCAGTTTTGATTTTTACAAGTAGAAATCAAGAAATCATATGCATATGACATAGCCATGCATACATTGCTCTTATATACATTCTTAAATGCCTAATGTTGACAGCTGCTGCTTAGCAACATTGTTGACAACAATTTATGAAATTGATTGTGCTTGATAATATAAAAATTGAATTTAATTTAATTAAATTTATGAAATGTACAATTGTATTGCAGTTGGAAAATTAGTTTATAATTAATTTAAACAATTTAAAATTTATTACTGCAAACTTAAACTGTTAAGTTTCGGATCAGAATGATAAGAGGAAAACATTATCCATTTGATTTGTCACTGCCTGGAACTCGCCAAAATGCGCACATTAGTTATAGGATATCCCTTTCTAAAATATCTATAGGCGTTAAAAGCATTTTCTTTATAATATTATCGAGGACACGTTTATCAGTAGCAGCAGAGTGGTTACCTGAGCGTCGAGCGTTTTTTAGTTGCAAGGGAACTTAAAATGATAATACAAGACAGAAATATTGTTGAAATGAAATTTTTTTATTATAATCTGGTAGATAATTTCATGGCATTTATTTTTGGAAAACGAGTTACATGATCCATTCGATCAGTCCAATTTTTGACTATTTTTTGTAATAAATGTGGCCGTATGGCGGCAATGGTGACATGAACAATGCTTCCAATGCTTAAAGAGTTGCTGGTTTGTCAGTTGTCGACATAAAAAGTCATCGAGAGGTGTTAAATGTCGCGAACGAGTGGGCCAATTAACAGGACCACTTCTGAAAACAAAGTTATTATCAAATTGATTTTGCTATAAATCGATTATTAAGCGCGGTATATGGCACGATAGTCTTGTTAGCACCAAATGCCAAATATGATCAGTCAATATTCGACTGATAAATTTTTGGAATAAAAATTCAGTCAACAGGGCTCGATAGTGCTCGCCACTCAACATATCAGCACCTCCTTCCTCATTTCGAAAGAAATAAGAACCGCACCAAACAGATAATTTTAATGGTTTTAAATTGAGAAGAGTAAAGTTAGTGCGAAAACGATTAATAACCGCACGAATTGCTTGCTTACTATATAAATTATGTTGACCGTAAAATGGACGAAATGCTCCATGAACTTTACGAACAGATTTACTTTTTTCAAAGTAAATTTTTACAATTTGGAAACCGTTGTTCTAACGTTAAACGACTCATGATACATCACTAAACCTTACTGAATATCAAGACAGTTTGACATTCTCAGCTATCAAACCATAATAGCATGTTTAGGCCTAGGTTATGTTGCAATGGCGGCCTTATACATCAAAGCCCATTTGGCATCATATAATGACCCGTTGTAAACAAAGGCATGGTGGCAATAGAATTTGTAAGGTTTAAACTTATTTTTGAGTCAATGGGATTATTTTGTCCCACTGAAAATTTTCTAATAAGTAAACACATTTATATATTCTCTTTAATAATCAGTTTATATAACTGCCTTGAAGTATACGCAAAAATTAGTTTATTCAGACCTTAATGAAGTTCTTGCGCAATCGAATCAGGATGTAGATTAATAAAAATATATATTTAATTTTATAGTAATACAAAATACGCATTATCAGTTTTTCACATAATAAAATGAGTCACTGCAATATGAATAATAGAGTATAATGCAATACATATAGTTTATTATAATTAAGACAATAATTTATTTTTATCGCTTTTTCTAGTAAATTTAAAATAGGAAGCAAACTTAATTAATGAAATTTTCACTCCAATGAGAAAATTGAATAATTTATATATTTTAAAATGTCTATAAAGTACGTGAATCAGCAATTTTTATTATAGATTCTAACCAAATTGTATAAACTCATTAGAAGTATCTCAAACTTTAGTATATGTATTATAGAAATTTGTATTTTATATGAAAATAAAATATTCTTAATTTAACTTAAACTAAATATTCATTATAGTTGAATATAAAATTTATGGTTATACAATATCTTATGTTAATAAATGTTTTTTTTTATTTTTTCAGGTACGTACAGAGACATATTTTTTGCTTTCAACTGTAAGTACCACATTTTATGAATACGTTACCAAATACCAAAAAAAAGAAACCACCACACCATATTATATAGTTCTTTACAATTTGAATAGAAAGACTTCAATGTTAAACTCAATGAAAACAAAATATTTATGAATTGTTTGGCAATATCACGGAATAATCATAAGAACATAAAAATGTTCAGAATTACGATGACTTGTCACACACAACTCATAACGGAACGCGAAATTACGACTAACGAAAATTGTGTGGATTATTAACAAATTAGCGCACATAATTTAGCAACTCTTAATGTTGATAATAAATTTATAAAGAACACATTAACAACACTGAAATTTATGCAACACTGTTTGCGGTACAAGGTGGGCGCAGCAAATGCAAACAATTTAATTTACCACCTCAGGGCACGATATGAGCCAAATTGGTTGGAACGGCGTAATCGTTGTTGCTATAACATTTTATGTATCAATAATTTTGATAAATTTCAAATCTTGCTCAACTTTTTTATAACAATTTTTTTTAAACTGTTATAAAACATAACCTAACAACATCAACAATTTCCAAATGGTATAATAAAATATCAATAATCTGTAAGTTCAGTCTACGAACGATACATGACATTTGCGCGTGGGAAAGCTTATTCTCTTATGGTTTTCATAGATCTTAAGTAATAATAGAGAAGTATTGTTTTATAGAAGATTGGATTCTTTAACTTTACTTGATATACTTTATGGTCCCTCATCTGATGATACTGATGATAGTACTGACAGTGATACAGATACTGATAATGATATTGATATTAATTCTGATATTGATAGTGGTACTGATTCTGATAACTACGAGTATCTATGATACTGACGATAGTACTGACACTGATACATATACTGGTACTGAAATTGATACTGATTCCGATTGTGATATTGATAGTAATACTAATTCCAATACTGATTCTGATAATGATTTTGATAGTGATAGCGATATTGATACTAATTCTGATTCTGATATTGATAATGATATTGATACTGATTTTAATATTGACAGCGATACTGATTCTAATACTCATAGTGATACTGATATTCATACTGATTCTGATTCCGATAGTGATATTGACAGTAATACTGATTCTGATAATGATTTTGATAGTGATATTGATATAAATTCTGATTCTGATATTGATAGTGGTACTGATTCTGATAACTATGAATATCTATGATACTGATGATAGTACTGACACTGATACATATACTGGTACTGATATTCATGCTGATTCTGATTCCGAGAGTGATATTGACTGTAATACTGATTCTGATACTGATTCTGATAATGATTTTGATAGTGATATTGATATAGATTCTGATTTTGATATTGGTAGTGATACTGATACTGATTCTGATATTGATAATGGTACTGATACTGATAGTGATAGCTATAGTGATACTGATAGGAGTACTTATATTGATAATGATTCTGATTTTGATAGTGATACTGATTCTGATACTGATAGTGATACTGATGCGGATACTGACACTGATATTTATACTGATTCTGATACTGATACTAATACTGATAGAGAAACTTATATTCAAAAGAGAAAAATTCCAAAGTTTATTTCTCAGAAGAGGCTCAATCCGAATAGGGGTTGAAGCTAATGCAATAATAAGACCGTTTTTTCTAATACCATTGACATAGACATATGTTTCGCAATAATATAACAAGCTTTACATTGAACTCCAATGTAGATGCGACTAAACATGAAGCATTAAGACCTTTTATGAGACTGTATGCACTACAAAGCCCATAATTTATCTATAATTAAAACAATATAAAACAACTATGTGCTGTTTGGTGTTGTTCGATTTTTTAATAAATTGGGCCTACTAGATGGATACTATCATACTGACAGACATGCCATATATTATAAGTTTCACCCAATGACTTTTGTCGATATTGTAAATTTAAAAAGGAAAGTCCTAACAACGTGCTTGTTAGTACTTTCCTTGCTAACTGCTTTGTACTTCCGTATTAATTATACTCTTCGTAATTATAATATTTAAGGGACTTAATGTCAAGTGTTCATGCAGCCCATTACCAAACTAGTTAGTTTCGGATTTAAATGAGTGACTTTAAATTATAGCTAGTATATCTGATCACCAATTTACGAGTAAGTAATTTACGCCATGTAACGTTGAATGAACTAATATCATTTTAAATGTAATTACATATCGAGCACGCGTTTGTATTTCGATTGAATTTTTAATCTTAATTATAATCTTTATAATAATTAGGTAGATTTTATGTTGGATAACATTTATTTGCGCTCACTAGTTTTTTGGTACAAATTTCAATGGGTAAAAGATATCAAAAATAATTGAAATAATAAGCCAAATTACTATATTCATAAAATAACATAACATTGTAGAGTCGAAACTGTATTCGTTTACCAAAAAAAAAAAATAATGTCACAAAAAATATATCTTCTAGAAATAATATTTCTACTGGTATGCTTTGTAGTGTTGCTAAATTTTCGAGATACTAAAGTTCATTGTGCTTCGGCCAAGTTTAAAAATCTCATCTGCGAGTCCTTCAACAAGACTAAAGTCGATTTGAAGCACTGCAAGATTCAGGCACGTAACCGGCATATCAACACAATGTCAATGTACGTCATTGTGAAGGAGGTCGTTTACTCAGTCAAGGTAAAATGAAATACCAATAATATTAAGTGAGAATAATAGTAATAATTCTCTCCCACCAAGGTTACTGTAAAATTATTTAAACGTGCTAGTGGCTGGAGGCCCTTCCTCTATGAATTCACAGCTGATGGTTGCAAGTTTCTAGAAGCGCGCGAAAAATATCCACTGGTTTCTTACTTCTATAATATAGTCGGTAAATTTACCAACGTCAACCATACGTGTCCATATAATGTGCGTTTTATTTATGTATATATATATTTGTATTTGTATATTAATTTTGCATATCAATTCTTTGCCATCTTTTCTTGAACAGCACGACGTTTGGGTGGAGAAATTCTTCCTAGAAAACTCCACTGTTAGATTACCTTTTCCTTATGGTGATTACTTACTGGATATTTATTTTGCTGCAAACGGTGTACCATGGGGTCGTGGAAATTTGTCCTTCACATTTGATGAATATTAAAAAAATTTTAAATAGAAATATATTTTACATTGATACAATAAATTATATTCCTTGTGTGTAAATGTAAACAACACATGATAATTGTTAATGAATGTAGTAAACCTGAGATATAATCTGAGATCTGAGATAACTTGAGATAATAAATGAGATAAAACCCAATCAGTCAACAAAACATATTAAATCTCCATTATGTAGTATTATCACTAAAATAACCATCAAAATAGATATTGAGGCACTTGTGTAGTAAAAATAGTTTATTAAACAAACTGATTAAAAGAGAGTTATTGATAATAAACACAAAAAAAACAAATATATTTATAAAGAACTACCCGTTACCGGGTTTCAGCTTGACGCAGTATGTTTCTCCAGGCGCCTCTGCTGCCTTTTCATACATACATCAAGTCCAGTTAGTGCTCCCTTCACGTGATCACTCCACTGAGTTGCGAACTACTTCTAACCGTTCTTTCTCCATCTACTGCTTCAAATACCTTTTTCGCTAAATCATCTTCATCCATACTCACAATATGAACAAGCCAGGGAAGTTGCTAGTGGTTAATTCGGTGAAATATATCAATGTCGTGATAAAGATCGTACAGCTCGTGGTTCTTTCGGCGGCAGTAGTCGTCGCCAACTCGTAGAGAACCAAAGATCTTACAAAGAACTTTTCTCTTGAACATTTCCAGAATTGTTGGTTACATTATTAAAATAACAAAGAAATTATAATTCTCATATTGTTTTGTTATATTTTGCTTTATAAAGTATACAACAGTGCGCATTGTAGTGATGGATATTGTTTTAATATAAATGTTTCTTGAGAAGTTAATTATCGTGGTCAAGTTTGGGTATGATATGAAACATGTATTGTGGACTTTTCATGTGTTAGTGTAGTAATGCTATAATAATAATTGAACACTTTTTTTTTAACGAGCAATGTATAATATTTATTTATTATATAAAGTTATAACAGTAATAATGATGAAATTAAAAGAATCTTTTAAATGTCATTGCTCATGCAAAACCTCCAGTATATCTGATTTTAAATGGGGCGCAGCATTTATAGTGTAACTGTAGAATAAGAAACTAATATTTTCTTCAATTGGACTACCCCATGAAGTGAGTAACGAATATTCTTGTTTACAATATGTATGCCGCAATGCCAGGATTCAATTTTGTTTCAGTAATACCATTGCTTTAAAGTAAATAAGAATTATAACTTCTAAAAAAAACTTGTTTGAGCCTTGTTTCAAGGCAATTGAATTATGTTATTACAATCTAATAGAACATGTTGTTTTACAGTCCCACGTTTCTGCTGAATTCACACTTATCTTCTTAAGTTATTCAATATGTAATTGCACTTGAAATGTACAGTTAATTATTATTTATATACGACCAATGTTTACCTAATTTGTAATTTTATTTGTCTTTTATTTGTAAGTTAATAACAACCTATTGGAATCATTAAGTATTACTAAAAAAATGGATGTGTTTTGTTTTACTGATGAACTAAGTTTATATTTTTCCCGACACTTAACTCTGAGAAGACAACTTAATAGAATATAATTTTCTGAATAAACCAAATTTTCTAATACTCTCCATAATCTATAGAAAAATTCGCTCTCCCCCAAGGAAGTCCATTACAAATCCATTGCGTGTCTAATAAATACTGCCCATAAGGAAATGGCAACTTTAGGGACTCATCACTTATGAGAAACTTATCGACCCAGACGTCATGCTATTGTAAACAAGAAATAAATAAGAATAAATATAACTAAATTTATAAGACTTATAAAATTTACTTACATCAAAAGGACATGTATGATTAACATTGGTGTACTTTACAATTACGTCAAAAAACCAAGCGACGATTGGATAACGTTTTCGCGCCTTGAGAAAGTGGCATGCATCAAAACTGAGGTCATATAGAAATGGTCTCCAACCACTGGCTCTCTTATACAATTTAACTCTGAGCTGTTGATATCACCTTCTTATTTCATCTTTTGAAATTATATAAATAGATTTCTTACCGTAATTGTTCTGATAACTTCTCCTAGTTTTATGTAAACGGATAATGTATTTTGGTTTCTGGTGTAAGTATCTAGACGACACTTTTTAAAGAAACTCTTAGATGTGTTATAAGATTCACATTTCACATTAGTAAATTTTTGATACACCGCTTCCACTGTGATCATTTGGAGGACTATTTGAAGTATTAATAAGAAATTCAAAGAGATGATGTTATGTCTTCTGATTTTGACTGCCATTTAAAAAATGGGTTTCACTGAATTTAAGTTTCAACAAAAACTACTGAGCAATTATTTGACACTGTAATAATATTATTAGAGTTCAATTAAAAAAATATTATTGGATTTTGTTATGTTTCATTAATTTTATTTGCATTAATTTTTATAATAAGAATTCTTCATAAATTATATATAATCACAGATTCATAGATAATAATGGATTGGAAATATTTAACCATGTTGGTACACATATACTCGTATTTGATGCGTATATATATATACATATAAATTATTTTGTATTATGTTTTTATATGCAAGAGTTAATACTATTTACATTAACAATCAATGTAAATATTTAATTGTTAAAATAATGAATCCCATTTTATACACATTACTATGAGCCACCAAGTTGAAGTGCCAATTGTCACTCTACCAACGTAGAATTAAGAGCACGAGTAATCCAAATCAGAAGACTGACATCGCAGTAAATAAATCACGAAGTAATGAAAATCAAACACATCACTACCAAGTCATCCTTTCAATGCAATCAAGAGTGTATCTGTCGACAGTCCATAATTCCATCAAATATCTTAGAAAGATCATTTAAAGCTGAACATAATCTGTACTCTGGAAATCAACATCTAAGCTTTCGCTCTTACCAGAACATAACTTAAAGGTATTTCTGGGACTAGATTGAAGATTGAAGATGATTGAAAGAGGATATTCATATAAATTGGTATTCCATAAATTGGTAAAAAAGGTTGGCCAGGTGGACTTGGCTAAGTCTTGAGGAGTTAGTAAAAGCTAACATAAATGGCCTACAAGCATTCCTAAACCTCACGGACAGAACTGAGCTGTCTACAAAGAAATAATAAGATAGTTGGCAACAATGATGTGCCATTAAAATGCTTGGAAAGTGGTAATTGAATTCATGAATTGAGCCACTATTTGAAATAACCAACCTACTAACCAAGGGTTTATTTACATCACAGGGTCGTATATTATATTATTGTACCAAATACGAACTATGAACTTAGCATTTTTTTCTATTTTTCGAAAACTATATACAACTTTTGAGATAGATTAAGCTGATCGACTTTGATTTCCC